CATCCATAGCAACCATTCAGCATCCACAGCAATCAGTCAGCATCCATAGCAACCAGTCAGCATCCATAGCAACCATTCAGCATCCACAGCAATCAGTCAGCATCCATAGCAACCAGTCAGCATCCATAGAAACCATTCAGCATCCATAGCAACCACTCAACATTTATAGCAACCAGTCAGCATCCATAGAAACCATTCAGCATCCACAGCAATCAGTCAGCATCCATAGCAACCAGTCAGCATCCACGGTAATCTGCCAGCATCCATAGCAACCAGTCAGCTTTCACAGCAATCAGCCAGCATCCATAGCAACCAGTCAGCATCCATAGCAACCAGTCAGCATCCATAGCAACAAGTCAGCATCCATAGCAACCATTCACCATCCTTATCGAACAGGCTGGGACTGTTAATCTGTGATACCGATTTCAGCTTGTGAAGGCTGGTCCTCCTTAAATCATAGCGGCACCAACACTTCCTCTCCGGCTGAAGCTCCTACCTGTAAATAACTGAAGGAGCTGTGTTTACTATGCGCTTTGGACACCCACCACAAATAGAATTGCATCCTCGACCAAAACGCATAAGTGTGACGTGCATAGAGCCCATCCAATGTTACCTCCCTAAATGATGCATGCAGTATATATAGCCCTTCCTTGTCATTCACATCATGAGGATGGTTGGCATATGGTGTCATCTTCTGTTTCTTCAAACTGTAAAATCCTTGCAACAAACTAAATTATAATAAAACTAAAATGCTTTCTTTAAACCAAACTACGATGTTCCTCTATTTAGTGAACTTGTTTGAATATTTTGCAAAAATATGTTGCGGTGCATGATGGGGTTTTGCATCTAAAGGCTAACGTTTCCCGTGTTACGTGCATTGTAGGCAGGTTGGGATGTTTTTATGGGTATAAAATGTTTTTCTTTAGATTTATGGCCTAAGAGATCAAAAGACTTTAGTTCAAATTGGGCGAGATTTCGTATATCCAGGCGATTTATTACATTTTTTGGGGCTGGAAAACATGAGTCAGTGACATCTGGTAACCCTGCTGATGCAGTGAGTGTGACGTTACGCAGCAGCAGTCACTGTGGCGTCCGTGTCAATAACCAAAGCCAGTAAAACCGCATTCTAGAAGTCCTGGTGATGTTGTCGTGTGATGCTTGAAGATAGATCAGTTAATGTGGATTCGTGTTGTGTTTCACATTTAAGACGCACGCGTTTGACTGGGCTTCTATTAATTGTTTTTTTTTTTTTTCTGAAGGGAGGTGGGGGGTCCATAAGTGGGCCGGTATAAATGGAAAAATGCCAGGGCTGAAAATAGTTCCCAGCCTGATATCGAACAGTCAACATTTAAAAATCAATGCCTTTCTCCTTTACTGGCTGTCTTATGCTTACGTTCACAACTAACACGCTTTGAGCATCAATAGCAGCTTCTTTCTTTCTGATGCTTGTCCTCATTAAGGTCCAGTAAAGTGATTCCAGGTGCATCTGCTGCTCCTGTGTTCAATGCCA